CTTCAGGTTAGGAAAAGATTTACTAACCAATTTTTAAAAAGCAGTATCCATAAAGTAGTTGATAAATTAAACTTAAAATTTGGGGGACTTCCCTGGTGGCGCAGTGGTTAAGACTCCACGCTCCCAATGCAGGGGGCCCGGATTCGATCCCAGGTCAGGGAACTAGATCCCACATGCACACCACAACTAAGAGTTTGCATGCCACAACTAAGGAGTCGGTGAGCTGCAACTAAGGAGCAGGTGAGCCAGAACTAAGGAGCCCACCTGCTGCAACTAAGACCTGGTGCAACCAAATAAATAAATAAAATATTTTAAAAAATTAAAATTTGAAAGACAAGCCAAGAAGGGAGATATTTTGCAGTACATATGATATACAAAGGGCTTTTATCTTAAATGTATAAAGAACTTTTATAAATCCACATGAAAAAAAAGTCTACCTAATAGAAAAATAAACTTAAAAAAACTTGACCACTTCTCCAAGGAGAAAATTCAAATGATCAATAAACATATGAAAAGGTGTTCAACCTCATTAGTAACCTGGGAGAGGAAATTTGAAACCACAATTAGAGATCAGTACATACCTATAATATTGGCAAAAGAAAAAAAAAATGTGAAGTCTGATAATACTGAGTGTTGGAAAGGATATAGAATAACAGTCCCTATTATTTGCCTCTAGTGGGAATGCAAATTGGTACAACCTGAAAATCATTTTGGCAGTACCTTGTAAAGTGGGAGACAGGCATATCTTGGGGTTCAGCAATTCTACCTCTGGGTATAAGATCTGAGAGTAACCGGGTACCAGCATACATGCAAAAGACGGTTCAGAGTATCATTGTTTTTAAGCCAAAAACTGGGAACAACCCAGATATCCATTAACAATAGAATGGATAAGTAAATAATGATGAAGTCATACAATACAATCCTACACACAAATGTAAGTAATTGGACTACAACTACACACTGGGACATGTATGAATCTTACAAACATAATGTTGACTAAAAGAAACAAAGTATTAAAAATTCATAATGTTCGATTCTATTTATGTAAAATTCAAAATGGGAAAAATTAAACTATATTGTTTAGAGATTACAGAACACTGACTTTGGGGTAGCACAGAGAGAACTTCTATAGTACCAGCATTGTTCTATTTCTTGACCCAGATGGTGATAACATGGATGTTCACATTATAATTACTCATTAACAAAAGAGGATATTTTAGTGCTTATCTGAATGTACTTTATACTTCATAAAAGTGAAAAATGTATTATCTTTCAAAATAAATGGCAACATTTACATGAAAATTTAGATTGTTTCATTGTTTAGCCCTAGGAATTCTTGTATCCATTTTATTACAATTCAAGATTAGGAAGAAATAGAATTCAACTGAAGCTTTAGTTCATTTTAAAACATTGTTGGGGGCTTCCCTGGTGGCACACTGGTTAAGAATCCGCCTGCCAATGCAGGGGACACAGGCTCAAGCCCTGGTCCGGGAAGATCCCACATGCCACGGAGCAACTAAGCCTGTGCGCCACAACTACTACACCTGCGCTCTAGAGCCCGCAAGCCACAACTACTGAAGCCCACATGCCTAGAGCCCGTGCTCCGCAAGAAGAGAAGCCACTGCAATGAGAAGTCCGCGCACTGCAACGAAGAGTAACCCCCACTCGCTGCAACTAGAGAAAGCCCGCCCACAGCAATGAAGACCCAATGCAGCCAAAATAAGTTAATTTTTTTAAAAAGACATGTCTATTAAAAATTAAAAAATAAAACATTGTTGGCTACAAATTCATTCCCCTATTGAGTATTACATAGAAAGTAAAATAGTTAAGCTTAGAGGTACAACAAGGAATATCTCTTTGTATTTCTTTCTTCATCTTCCCATATTCCACTAGTGTTTTTCTCAAATGAATTTCAAGAGCAACCTTGAAAAAACACCAGATGCTGCAGCTTACACTGGAGTGTAGTCAGTTTACTGAAGTATAATTTATAGTAAAACTCACCTTCTTATATGTACAGCTCCATTAATTTTGACAGTTATGTAATCACCACTACAACCAGGACACAGAATATCTCCCCGGTTGCTAGGGCTGGGCTTTTTTTTTTTTTTTAATCTTCTTTTGTTTTTATAACAATATGCATATAAAGTAAAAGTAGATAAATAAAAAATAAACCTGACTGAAAAATTGGCATAAGACCTGAATAGACATTTTTTCAAAGAAGACATACAGATGGCCAACATCATTCATCATCAGGGAAATGCAAATTAAAACCACAATGAGATATCACCTCACACCTGTCAGAATGGCTGTCATCCAAAAGAACACAAATAACAAATGTTGACAAGGATGTGGAGAAAAGGGAACCCTTGTGCACCGTTAGTGGGAATGTACATTGGTGTAGCCACTGTAGAAAACAGTATGGAGGTTCCTAAAAAACTAAAAATAGAACTACTGTATGACCCAGCAATTCCACTCTTGGGTGTATATCTGAAAAAAAATGAAAACACTAATTCGAAAAGATACATGCACCCCAATGTTCATAGCAGCATTTTTTACAATAGCCAAGATATGGAAGCAACCTAAGTGTCCATCAACAGATAGATAAAGAAGATGCGGTGTGTGTGTGTGTATATATATATATATATATATATATATATATATATATATATAACACACATAACACACATATATATTCCCATATATGGGAATACTACTCAGCCATAAAAAAGAATGAAATTTTGCCATTTGCAACAACATGGATGGAGGGTATTTGGCTAAGTGAAATAAGTCAGAGAAAGACAAATACTGCATTATATCATTTATATGTAGAATCTAAAAGAAAACAAACTAATGAATATAACAAAAAAAGAAAACAGACCCACAGACATGGAGAACAAACTAGTATTTTCTAGTGGGGAGAGGGAAGTGGGGAGGGGCAAGATAGGGGTAGGGGTTTAAGAGGTACAAACTGCTATGTATAAAATAGATAAGCTACAAGTATATATTGTACAGCACAGAGAATATAGCCAATATTTTATAATAACTATAAAGGAAGTATAACCTTTAAAAATTGTGACTCACTATGTTGTTCGCCTGAAACTTACATAACATTGCACAGCAACTATACTTCAATTAAAAAAAATACCTACCATATAAGTTCTTTTTAAGTGTTTGCTGTTATGATGATGACGATTACTTAAAATTTAATTCTGACCGAAGCCTGAGCACTCTCTTCTATCTTGTTCAATTGAATAAAAATTGTTTTTAATTTTTAAATAAAGACAAAAAACACAAAACACTCTTCAAACAGATAAGTAATGTCAGATTCCTGCCAGAAAGGTTTAATCAGGTTATCTGCAGGGGTTAGGGACAATCTTTAATGATTCCTAAGGATTGTTCCCTGTTGCTGATTCAGGATCAAAAATTTAAGTTAAGAAATGTTTTGTGTGAGTGTCTAGCAAGCAAAGGATGTCTGCTGTCATCATGTAACTGTGCTTTTGTTTTCTACGGTGTATAGATCATGACAAATGAGCTCTTTGAAAAGCACTACAAACACGGGAGCAAGTTTCTGACTTCATTTCCAGATGGGACAACACAAATATTGTATCCTTTCTTTCAACAACTTATTTTCGTTAGCTTTATTTCTTCACAAAAAGAAAGATAAAGAAAAAATAGACGGAAAAATATGAAGAAAAAAAATAGTTATTACCAAATCCTACCACCCAGAGCAAAGCTGTTAACATCTTTTTATACATCTTGCCTTACTTTTTTCCTATGAGTAATTATATAATTCTTTAAAAATTAATTTTTCAACTAGTTATTTATATTTTGTAACTTGCTCCCTTTACATAATATTATACAATATTATACAATACTCATAAATGTTATGAGTATATAATATGCAATAAATATAGAGATACAACACCATCTTTATAAGCACATGGCATTCCATCACAGTGATGTACTGTAATTCCTTTCATCTATCCCCTATTACTAATCAAAGGTGGTTTCACAATTTTTGGCTGTTTTATACAACAGCTACATGAACAGCTTTGTGCATACTTCGCTGCACACTTATCACTTACTTCCTTGAATTAAATACCCAGGGATAGAAATTCTGGGTAAGAAATTATGGACATTTTAAAGGTTTAATAGATTTTGCCCCCCAGAAAATGTGTACCAGTTTACACATCCATGAGCAGCATGTTATTTTTTAATACAAAAATTCAATATCCATTTATGGAACACTCAGTTATTGATCACTTGAACTTCTGCCTGATGATCAGACCATTTGCTATTTTGACACAAAGGCCACTTAATATCCCCAGGAAAGTAAAACAAAACAGAACTATGAAACGAGAAGGACTTTTTGGCAAACTAAGGGCCTCATTTTGTAGGAGAAAGTCATTTTTAGTCATAGTTGCCTAAATGTTTAGTCAAACCCCAGTAAGAAACCAGAAAAATGGCTTTCATGGCATAGGAAGTGTAATGAAGTTTTCGTTCCCTAGGCCCTTTGA